GTAGGTGCATGTGAATGTTAAACGTCCGACCAAAGAAATCGAGACTGAACTCTGGAGTAAATATAGTTGTTAATGAAGATTCATTGACCAACAGGTTCATTAACATTTCCTCCCGTCACGTGCAGTCACCCTGACCCTGATTTGAGACTTCAAAGTGAAAGCTTATTGAGAGTCCAGCAGCTTTTCCTAAAGCTGAAGGTTCCTCTGACCCATGCTCACCCAGACTCTTTTGCCAAAAGGTGTAAAACGGAAACAACAACAACACGATTGAGTCTAGCAGCAGGACCAGATGCCAAAGGCCTGTGATATTTCCTCCACCTCTTTAAGCCTCTTAGTCCTGTAAGTCTGCCTGGCTGTCTGCAGAGCTACCTTGGTGCTGATCAGTGATCATTTAATCCTTTAGTGGAGAGGGTTGGGTCTCACAGGTTTGTCTGCCTGCCAGTCACACATATAAACACTCAGATCTTCACAGGTATGGAGGAACTTCTGTTACCGAACGTTGAGGAGGAGGTGCGCTCTGACAACAGCTCGTACGCGCCTGGAAATGCAGAGAAGACGATGGGGGACCAAATGAAGACTTTCCTCCTGAAGACAGTGAAGGGGGACCTGAGGACGGTGAAGAATTTCTTTAAGAGGAATGGGCTGCTCACGCTGTCAGTCATCTCTGTGATCACCGGCTGCACGCTAGGCTTTATGTTGAGAGGAAGTCAGATGTCTACACAGGTACTGTTCACCTTACAGCAAACAGCATGCCATTAAACTCTCAGCTTCATATTTACATCACGTCATTATGTCGACCGGACTTCTTTCCTTCAAACATCCTGTTAAGTCACCTTCAGTGGTGCTGCCAGGAGCTCACCTTTAAGCTCCTGTATTGATACTGTCCAACACTTTTCCTGTTAATTACTTCTCTCAGCTTTCTGCTCAGTAGCTGCCTTTAAACACTCTGTTAGGATGTAAAATTTCAGCTTCTATGTTTACATTTTCCTGTGAAGCTGAAGGTAATATTTAAAATAACCTAAAGCTTTGTGTTGATATTTTTATTTCAAATGTCTTTACGTTGCTTCGTGCCTCGATTTATTGCGATATATCTTTTTAAATTTAAATTTCAGCTTCTGTGTTGATTACTTTTTTTTTGGTTTGTTTGGTTGGTTTTGTTTTGTTTTCTGTTTATTTTATATATTTTTTGTGGAAATAAGTAAAAAGTATACAAAACACACAGTAGCAGAGAGGGACGGAAGAGTTACCAAATTAACAAAATACTATAACATAAAAAAAGAGGAAATAAAAAAGAAGATAAATCAAAAAACTGAAAAAAAAGCCTTCTCCTCCACTTCTCCTAAACTCCAGTGGAGGAGTTCAAGTATCTCGGGGTCTTGTTCACAAGTGACGGGAGCTCGACAGATGGATTGGTGCTGCAGCTGCAGTGATGCGGACGCTGTACCGGTCCATCGTGGTGAAGAGAGAGCTGAGTGTAAAAGCAAAGTCCTCAAATTACCCATCAATCTACGTCCCTACCTTCACCCGTGGTCACGAGCTGTGGGTAGTGACTGAAAGAACGAGATTGCGGATACAAACTACATTATTTTACTACAGAAATTAAGTCTTCCATTAAATGAAATCATGTCTGTTTAATAGACTCCAGTTTGCATGTAAATGAGAAAAGCTCTGCACACAAAAGTTAGTTAAGGAGTCCCTCAGGGTTCTGTGCTGGAACCATCATTGTTTAAATGACACATATATTATACAGGCTTCCCTTACACAATATTATTAGAAAACATACATTTTCATTGCTATGCAGATGATACTTTATCTATGAAGATACAAATGAACTAGTTGAATTGCAGGAATGTCTTAAAAACACAAAGGTCTGGATTACCTCTAATTTGCTGAATTCAGGTAAAACTGGAGTTATTATATTTATAAGGCCCCAGTAACACTTTGAAGAATCTTGGAGTTGCTTATGCCCAGGACATGTCCTTTAACACACATATTAAAGTAGCATGTAGAGCTCTCTGCTATTATATCTTCTATTATTTGTGATGTTTAGTTAGTGCATCACTCAAAGACAAACATGTTGTCTTTGAGTGATGCTGAAAACTCGCTAGTTATGCGTTTTTTATTTCTAGACTGGACTATTGTAATTCATTATTATTAAAAGCTCCTTTCAGTTGATCTAGAATACTGCTGTGAGTACTGGCAGGGACTTCTCCCGTACTGGTTTCTCTTCCTTTGATCCATATTTAAGCCAAAATTGAATTTAAAATCAGAGTGTAAAGACTACGTTGGTAACTGACTGCTGGTGTAAACTGGCACTATAACAGTGAAATGAACTGAATCAGTTTCCTTGAATTCAGTTCAGTTTTAATTAAATAGTGCCAAAAACTGTCACCTCACGACCCTTTCGCACACCTTGAATGAGATCCAGAGTTCCTTTACGAAGACTGGTGAACTTTACAGAAGACATCATTGTTGTAGGCTTCTGTGGTGGTGATCGTTCTTTTGCAGCAGACCCACTATTAGAGAGGGAAAGATGGATGTAGGAAAATAAATCCTGATTTTAAAAACATTTCAGCATTTACATTTCAACAAGATAACTCTTTATTTACAGCCTAAGTCCCTGGAGGGGCATGAAAAGTGATAATGTGCAGCAACTATACTTCTCCAGCACTGCCAAGTTTGCTATATTCTACAAGAAGAACCAGATTTTTAAAAAAAGTGTGATAAACCTGATGAATAATTCACAGGGAATTTGACACAGTCGTTACTGTAAACAAGAAAGAAAAAGACAGGCTTCAGGAAAACTGAAAGTCCAGGCCAGGCTAGATCCAGAATGAAACCCACCACAAGTCCAGGCCTGAACCCAACAGAGCATCTCTGGGGAGAAATAAAGGACAGTGAAAATTGTTTTTATATGTGATTGATTAGCAACATAGTAATATAGGTTGTGCTTCTTAGTTTCTAGTTCGTATCAAATTTCTCTTGCTTACTGGATTATGTATCTCTCATTAAGGAGAGTGAAGGACACAGCTGAAGGTAAGAAAGAGAGAAAAGTTGTCAGTTCCAGTGTTTGGACAGTTTAGTCCAGTTAGGTTTAGGTTTCTTTAATCACTGTTTTAATGAAACTAAACGTAGTAAAAATGTGACTCTTGAATTTATGGTTTACATTTCACTCACATTTTCTTGTACAAACCCAGTGTTGGGGCACTCTAAGAAAAAAAAGTAATGTATTTTAAATTATTCCTTCTTTTTTAAAAGATCTGTATTATCCCCTGGGTGAACCTCGGGACCATTTTTGGTCCCGAGGTTCACAAAAGAATGGGATTTTGAGGTTCTACCAGGGGTTAAATATTTTACTCTCAAGAATTACTCATAACAACATCCCAACAACATTATTACATGCTCAAAGGGACTTCAAAGAAATCACTGCAGTGATTCTACTGTAGCAAAATGAAGAGGCAGAAAGGCTCGTCCTTGCTTCTGTTGCCTTCAGTTTGGGCTCTGTCTGCTGGCCTGAGGTCGACACACACTCAGCACTTTAGTTTTGTGTAAATATGCTGTCTGTGCAGCTTGCAAGGAGCCCATGTGTGTTAGTAGTATAAACGCAGTTGCTTCTGTCCTGGACGCAGCTTGCTCTTCACCATCGCGCCCTTGGCCTTTTGTGCACTGAAAGTAAAAGTAGTGTCTATTGCTTCATTTCAAAAGTTTTTTTTTCTTTGCACAGAAACTGAAGTCAGCTGGTAGCTGACAAAGGCATGATTGATGTATCTTTCTGATCATATCTCCTGATCTCCTGATCAGAACCTGTGTAACACAACAACAACATACTTGTAACTGTAATGTGATTATTAAATTTAATGCAGTAATGTGTTACATTACTGCATTTCCCAAATGACTCAGCTGTGACATCACTCTGGGGTGTTGCCTAGCTTCATGATTGCACAGTACCTCTGCAGATGCTTGCAAAACCCCAAATTTCTCTAACAGAACAATGAAGTTTTTCTGTCCTTTTATGCTTTCTATATGCAGCATGCAGATAACTTAGGAAGCTTTATAACACAAGTGTCAGTATAACTGTAACTGTAATGTAATTATGGATAACAGTAACAAGTTACTTTGTAACATGTTAACCCAGCACAGGTAATGGTTCCAGTCAGCTCTGTGAAGAACTATATGAACGTTTAAAAAATAAAATTAAACAAATGTCATTTCATAACAAGATTCGTTTTTACATTGTCCAATGAGTTCTTACTGTTAAACACACCAAAGAGAGATAAAAGGGAAATCTACAGTTTGTATCAGAAGCTAATTATCCAGATATGTGTTTACACTTAAACAGCAAATCTCCTGCTGCAGAGCAAAGATGATCAAACTGTTTTGATGTCTTGGGCAGGACACTTCACCCTACCGCCTACTGGTGTTGGCCACTGATGGCGCCAGTGTCCAGCAGCCTCGCTTCTGTCAGTCTGCCCCAGGGCAGCTGTGGCTACAACTGTAGCTGCCTCCACCAGCGTGTGAATGTGAGAGTGAATGAATAGTGGTGTTGTAAAGCGCTTTGAGGGTCTCGAAAAGCGCTACATAAGTGCAATCCATTATATTGAGGACATATATCAAATAGAATATTTCATTTTGTATTTGCAGGAGTTTGAGCATGTCTGGTTGCAAAGCTTAATGTACTTAGCATAATAAATAGCTGTTTTTACATTTCAACCTGATACTCATAGGATTACAGATAAATCGAGCACCGTGCAGTTTCAGAGATGCAGAGATGCAGATATGCAGATATGCAGATATGCAGATATGCAGATATGCAGGATATGCAGGATATGCAGTGCCACTTAATTTCAGCACAACTGGTCTGTTAAGTTTCCATGTTGAGGGGAACTTTTCCAAGAAATGTAGAGGTCTCTGGCCTGTTAATTCTCTGGAGGATACACTGTAGTTGAAGAAAAACAGTGTCACAGAGCTTTAAGAGCAGCCAGTCCAAATCCACCAACGTTAATCCGTCCATGTAAGGAGTGCCTCTCATGCTCTCAGAGGGCTTCTTCTCTCTGAGCTTTTAAAAGAAACAGTTAAAACACAGCTGTTTGTGCAGCCTCTAAACATCTTACTGTAAATATAACCAAAACACTCTATGATAGTATAAACATAATAATAATGGCTTCCTTTGATCACTGTTGGTTATTTTTATATTCAGAATACAACATGAGTTTTTTTTCATTCATCTTTTTTTCATCAGTTTTTACATTTCAACACGAAATCATAGGATAAGTTCTTAAGCGATTAGTTACTAATTATACTCTTCTAATATAATGTTAATAAATAAAACCAACTCGGTTAGAAATGTTCATCTAGAAAGATTAAAGTTACAGATGAGAAATAAAACTGTTTACATTAATTGTTGCAAGCATGAATGACGCCTCTGTGTCCTGTTTCACAAATCAAACAAAGATTTTAAAGTTAACTGAGATTAATTTAATCTGAAAATGTTGATGTGATTTTAATCTCCATCACTGTCAATCTGTGTGTCTGCAGATTCAGAAAACCCAACGAAACTACTCGGTTATGTGAAGTAAAACTGTGACCTATGAGCACATGCACTTCAGAGCCTGTGAAGAATTGATCCCTCTCAGCCAGACTAAAGTCACCCCGGCCGATTACAGCTGGACCACTCAGTGACTCTCCTGTTCTTTCTCAGTCAGTCACGTTTATTTCTCGAACACATTTAAACACAGCTTAAGGAGACCAACATGTCAGTGATATCATAGTGGGCATGGACAAGCTGTTCTTTAAACACTCACTAATTCATTTATTTTTATTTGCCTGCCTGTATCAGAGATATATGTTGGTTTAATTAAAATACGCAAACTTGTTTCCACAAACATAAACAACAAATAAAATAATGTCAATCCTGCAAACTTATGAGAGAATACTGAAGTGAAAGACTTCTTCTTCATTTTAAGTTAAATGCACTTTATATAAATTGAGTTTTAACAGCAGTTTTATAAAAAACAAAATAAACAACAGGAAAAAACATTTTGAATGAGCTGCATTTTTAGAAAGCTGAGAGTAATCACAGTATTTGCATTATGTTTTATGACACAGAGATTTATTCTTGCATCTTTACATCTACCATTTAGTTTGGTCCTAAACTGAACAAAAAACGTGAAAGAAGAGAACGACAGGAATGATGCAACAAAAGCACGACTGGTCGGTGTCATATCAGCAAACACATCCAGACATCCTCACTAACAGGGACTATTTTTAGCTAGATAGAGATAATACACAAAG